CGAACAATTTGGTTACAAGTTTTAACAAAGAGAAGAGGAATGTATTTAAACATTATTCAGCAAAAAATCATTTGTTGCTTTACTATTTTAAAGGTGAGCATTATTTTTCAAAAATAAAGTCTCTACTAAGTAGCATCAACTTAGTGTCCTCCTTTTTACCTCACAGTCATATTTCATTTATTATTTCACGTCACGTCATTATAAAAGGCCGGAAAACTTAATGATAGAAAATGTTATATCATGTAATGTCCTTTTTACCTCACAGTGAGATTTACCTCACACGATATATGCGAGGCGAACTCCGAAATACGTGATTTGTGAATAAAACTGTTTATATGTGATTGTTTAATTGCTTTACTTATAAATCGTCGTGCAGTATGAACTGAAGCCGCCCACGATTCTCACATCGCGCGCTCTTGTTTTATGATTATTATATTGCAATTATAATTATTTTTCTGTGTTACACATATATGGAAAGACGTAACAGAAGTATCGAAAAGGAATATATGCAAATGTCTCATATACGCTTCGAGCAAATTTCAGTAACACTTTTATATAGGTGCGACATATGAAAAAGAGGAGAGATTTTCGAAGTAGCCGCAAGAGTCAAGAGAGAGATCGATGATGTTACTGTTCTAGTTAACAATGCCGGCATAATGTCTTGCCATGCTTTTCTCGATCATTACGATCATCTCGCCGACGAAATTAAACGGATCTTTGACATCGACGTGTTAGCACATTTCTGGGTACCGATGAACGAATTGTGGTGAGAGAATCGTGAATAGCTTCTACTTATATGAATAAATATAGCTGTTTTATACATAATGATACATAATGTCATTATAGATAAAAAAACGTTGTACAAATTTACGAAAAAAAAGTCACAAACGACTCTTTTCGATGGTGTTAGTGCATAATGCGTGAATTAACCGCTGACGCGATAATTATCTCGTTTTTTTTTTCTTGCAAAAGTATGGTGGAATATTGAAAGAACATTCCTTTACATTTGTGTAACGGTACATTGATACGGTGATAAAACGCACCGATGCTAATGCATTGGAAATCACAGAGAATCAATCAGCTCTCCATCCTCAATCACATATTATTCTGGAGGGTACTTCGAGAATGCGTTTTTGCGTTTCATTATGATACGATTAAGTGTATAAGATTATGTATAGTGGTCATAACCGTTTAATAATAATCGTTATGTATGTATTAAGGGTATATCTTTAATTGATTTTTAATTGATCTTTGAATGATTTATGCTACGATTAGCGCAATATACAACATGCATGCAATTGTCAATATGGATCACGTAGGAATCATCACGTAGGAATTCTTATTTCTTATTTTCACAATATCTTAATATATAAACTTGAATGTTTATGAATTAATTGTTCGCCGGAAATATGATAAGCATATATTTGGCGATATTATATCATATTTCCGGCGAACAATTAATTCATAAACATTCATGTGACTTGAAACTTGAATGTTTATATATTAAGATATTGTGAAAATAAGAAATTAGAATTCCTACGTGATCAAATAAAAATATCCATTTATTTACTGTATATACGTGATATATATATTGCACAACTCGCGACCTCAAGGGAATAGAAATAACAAATTGTCGCAAAAAGTACAAAATAAATTTTTGATATCAACTTTGACCGATTCAATTTGTGATTAACGAAGAGACAGCCGTTTTTTTGAGCATACAATACCAGCGGTCGACACGATTCCCACTACACACTTGAAACAGAAAACGAAAAAGATTTTTAAAATATATGGAAATAACCTTCGTTATTATTTTGAGTGTTTATATCCAAACGTCTTGTAAAAAGTATATGTATATTGAGAATATGAAATAAAAAAAATGGTAAAGAAATTTTTTTAACGATTCCCACCTTATGTGATCTGCTTCCATGCGATTATAACAGCTGTCATATTCTGACAGACGTTATCATATCATGACGTTACGTATGCATTTGTACGAATGCAGAAATGAAGACAAGAAGATATCTGGCATATATTTAAAAATATAAAACGCATATATGCATTATTACTCATTCAGTTACCAATTTAATTCGTGAACACTGTACAAGTTGACATGGCAATAGGAGCTTTGTAATAAAGTGATTTATTCGTCGACTCTATCGCGTTCTCTTTTGATAAGTGAAAATATAGATATGCATATAGTTAAATAAACATTTATTGAAATGCATAAAGTTAAAGGCTTTGTCGCAGTTCTTCCAAGAAATTCATATCGATATTGATGAAATCGGGTTACAACTGGCACTGTAACAGTGTGCTCGCGGATATAAATTGTGACTACGGTACAGATACTTAACACACGTTTAATGTGTATATTTTGTGCGACGTGAAATAATAAATGAAATATGACTGTGAGGTAAAAAGGAGGACACTAAGTTGATGCTATTTAGTAGATACTTTATTTTTGAAAAATAATGCTCACCTTTAAAATAGTAAAGCAACAAATGATTTTTTGCTCAATAATACTTAAATACATTCCTCTTCTCTTTGTTAAAACTTGTAACCAAATTGTTCGTTCATTTTCCAGATTGGAATATCAGACAAATGATACAGTTCGAAGGAACAAATGTCAGGCAATCGTGCTAAAAGCTTGCAATGGCGTCTTGTTCTTGGCGGATGTCTTGCTACTTATCTTAAAAATCGCGTATTATATCTGCGGAAGCGTGTGTAAATTCTTTGTGCCAACGCAAGAGAAAAGCGTGGCCGGGGAGATCGTTTTGGTGCGTATCGAGTACATGAAAATTAAACGACATTGTCACATTGTCATTTAATTTTTCTCGTAATATTTTACTTGAAAACTCGCGGAAAATGTTCTTTCTCTCGATGTGTTATTGGGCGCGAATCATCTATTTACAGATAACAGGCACGGGCCACGGTATAGGTAAGGAGTTGGCGATCCGTTATGCGTCTCTGGGAGCGACGGTGGTATGTTTGAGTTTGAATCGACAACGAAACGAAGAGACGTTGAATGAGATTAAAAAGCTAGGCGTAACCGCGGCGTACGCGTACAAGTGAGTTTATAAAATTCGGTAAAGTTGCGGAATGATACACACAACCTTCGATAATGTATTTTATTTGTGATTGGAATATCTTGGCACACGACGAATGCACATTGTTACTATTGCACTTAATGTAACTGTGTGTGAGTTTTTCTCGAAATCAACAGTTACGGTACAAAAAGATACAACGAGCCTGAGCTAAAATATTCTAATCAGAAGTGGATCGATGAAATTTCAATGACACCTTTATATAGGTGCGACGTATCGAAAAGAGAAGAGATTTTCGAAGTAGCCGCGAGAGTCAAGAGAGAGGTCGGTGACGTCACTATTCTAGTTAACAATGCTGGTATAATGTCTTGCCACGCTTTTCTCGATCATACCGCCGACGAAATTAAACGGATCTTTGACATCAACGTGCTAGCACATTTCTGGGTGAGTTGTAAAGGCAAACATGCAATTCTTTATAATATAGGATATTCATAAGGAGGTTATTATTTTTTTTTTTCAGACGCTGCAGGCGTTTCTACCGAGTATGATTGAAAAGAATCACGGTCACATTGTCGCGCTCTCATCAATAGTAGGGCTCTTTGGTTTATCAAACATAATTCCCTATTCCGCCAGCAAATTCGCAGTTAGAGGTCGTCGATTGTATCGTTGAATTTTATGCGAGCATTTGCTCTATTCAGAAAGGATTGTGAAAGAGTTTCCTAATGGTTTTGAATTGTTGTTAAAAATCTTGCAGGACTCATGGAGGCGATTAACGATGAATTACAATTGTCTACCAAGGGAAAATCAATGATCAAATTCACTACCGTTTATCCGTATATAGTGGACACCGGATTTTGCAAGAAGCCAAGAATAAAGTAAGTTTGTGATGAAACTACAACTAACGTAAGGAACACTCTTCGAGTTAACCGTGTTTCCTGGAAATTCCCGAGAAATCTCATTATGTTTTTGATAGGTCGTTGATGCTCATCAATAACGAATCTTTTTAACTTGGACAGATTTCCGAGTCTCACGCCGATAGTTTCGTTGGAAGTAGCTGCGTCGCATATAATTAGGACGCAAAGGCGGGATTACCGCGAACAAAGCGTGCCTTCGTTTTGGTTCTCACTGAACGCAATAGCGAGGTAATTTCTGAAGGGAAAGATGGTGGGATGAATAATGTGAAAGAGGTAGCGTAAAGAGCCGTCTACATTGGAGTTAATAACACTGCGAAGTAAGAGAGTTTTTTCAGTGGGATGAAATACCAGGAATAATCGAAATGTATCAACCCACTCTTTACTTATTACTGCTTATTTCCAATGTAGGCGCCCTTTATTTATTACTTCCAATGTAGACGGTCCTTAAGAAAGGGCAATACATGAATTTTTATTTCAGACTTTTACCCTACGAAGCGTTTTACAGCCTAAGAAATTTCTTCGATTGGGGTCTCGAACCGGCTAACGATTAATGAAACATCATTCGCGCAACAGATCCATTGACAGATGGACAGTTTGCGTACAACATGTTTGTTTGAGCGCGCTTATAAAGTGCTGCGAAATGAATAAAAAGAATTGTAATACTACCCATATTTGGTACATATATATTGATATCCCTCATTTATTCGTATATAGCAAATGAACGCGGGTACAGTTTGTTAATATTGTTCTTTTTTGTAAAGATAGTTTGTAAAGATCGTTTAATCAACTCTGAAAGTATAAGCTGGAAATATAAAAACGAGTATTCAATGGCGCGTCTCATACGAGACGAATTCAGAGTTTAGCCTAGCGAAGAATCCTGTAACATATCATGGTAAATAGGATGAAGCCCGTCGTAACCTCGTAATCCCACTTTTGCGCCAGCGATACGACACGCAAACGTAATAGCCTTTTGCAAAATCGTTTCATCGATAAATCCCATTCGAACGTACTTCAAACTTTCTGTATTGGGGCACTTACTCGTAAATTCTGCCTTGCTTTTGTTCAAATAATGCAACACGACCGCGTTAAATGTATCACCGGCACCTAAAGTGTCAGTCACCTTCCGTGGAGGAAAAGCTGGAGATTGCACTACAGTACCATCTCCAGTACGTGCCATTGCACCCTGTTCTGCCCAGGTGCAAATAATAGTCGCTCTAGAAAGACATTTAACGAAACGTCGACGAAATAACAAAAATATCGTCTGTTTTGATACATGTATGTGAAAAAAGGTGAAATTTACCCCGGCTTAGCGTTAGGACCAACGTTCCTTAGTATCTCGCTCATACTTTCGAGACCTTGGCTCTTGGCGAAATCCTTCGCTATAAACGCTACGTCAGCATGATTCAACAGATCCAATAATTCCGACCTGGGACGTTCCAACTCTACACTAATCGTAATTGGCGCGCGATATTTGGCATCTCGACCGTGTGCTGTATTTAACGAGTTATTATAATTTTTCACACGTTGTATCATAGTTAACACTTGATCGAAATTCCTTCCCTGTAAGTAGGAAATAGTTGTCTAGCTGCGGGATTCTTTTTCAAGTATCTCAAAGGTACCTCAAAGTGTATCCAGCTATATTCCCCTAAATCAAGAGTATCGAAATCCCTGTAAGTTAATTCCGGAAAGTCGGATGCTTTGTGGTGTATGATTGTACGACTTCCTGTACTAGAGCTCAATATAATAGTCGAAACAGGGCAGCCGAAGGTTAACGGCATTATAGGACAATGACGATAGTCAATGTTATATTTCCGCAGATCATTTTGCAGAAAAGAGCCGTGTTCGTCCGCGCACAAGCAAGCTAAAAGTTCGCACGGCTGTCCTAACAACGACAGCACGGTGCAAGAGTTGGATGAATTGCCTCCTCTTTGCCATCGGTAATCCGTAGATCTGAAATTTGTATAGCTCATTCCATTTTACGCCGCGTATAAATAAGGAAACATATAAGCAGCAATTGATTGCCGTAGATATTTCCAAGCGAACATTTCCAACTCAAGGAGGACATTTAAAGACGCAAGTCATTTCACGCTTGCATCGTTGTAAAATGTGACATCGTTAAATGCGATCTTGAATCACTTTCCGAATTTCAAAGTGCTTCGCTTGGCTACACGGGCATGTTAGTGCCGGCGTTAGTCAACTTCAAGACATTACTGGTTTTATCGAATTTTTCAAAAACACGCTTTATCGTAACTCAAGTTTCAGACTCAAGGTGATAAAAAAGAAATGCTATCGCACAACTGGCCGAATTTTTTTTTCAATGTTTTAATTTGGTTGCAATACGCAACATGAGTAAAAAAAAAAAACTAACCGACCGTGGATAAGTCATTTGAGAGATAATATATCGAGTCTTCTCGCGCGCAGCTGACTCGTTGTAATCGAAAACGGCGGAAGATAACGAAGCATACACTAACCTTCCAGTGGAGTCCTCCAAAGGGAATTGTTCGCACGTTTGAATGATGTCGAGACAAATTATTCCCACGCATAGAATTTTCTTTTCGGATTCCATCTGCGAAGATACAATCTTCTTCTTGACAAATTCGACGAGACGCGCATCAAAAGATCCACTGACCTTCCGTTCGTTGCGTGCGATGAACGACCTGCAGTTGATCGGAATTATCCAATTCACTTATCACCAGCTCCCTTGTTACCGGAGCGATTGTTCAATATTTTCCGCCCTTTGGAACAACAACCGATCCGCCCTACCTGTTGAAGCGCAGCTAACGCTTAACGCCATCTGGCGGTATTTCTGGGAGACTTCGACCCGTTACATTTATTTCCGTCCGACCCGTTATGTTAAACATCGTCTTTAACAAAAATCGACTCGGTTAGACGGACTTCTTATTTTCAAGTGGTAATGAAATTTGTCGTAACAATAAATTACAAAATTGCTGACGTAGGAAGTAATCGAATGTGGAAGTATCGAGAGGTCCTTTAACAAAGGAATCGAACATCGATTTATCGTTCGATCATTGTTCATTCTCATAAAATACCAAGATGGAGACGAGATCGAATTTTTAGCACTTCGAGCGCGATATTTGTTGCTAATAATTCTAAATTAACGTCATCCGTACCGGGCATAAGTGTATTATACACTTGAGCGGAAAAATCACTCGTTTGTCATAGCAAATATTGCTATCAAAGAGAGCAAATTTATGCGACACATGGCGGTTTGTTAAGCCCGAATCCGCACGCGTAATTTCTTGTTCATACTCCTAACGCGTAATTTGCCACTTGATCAACGTTTGTTTATGTAAATACGATGGATCCACGTTTGCATAGAAGATCCGAACTGGAAAAGGGATCGAACGACTTGGTCAGTTAACCTCAAAAGTTTGCTTTCACAGCAAATTGTGATTAAGCCACTTGATGTAAAAATTGTGCAAACTTCCTAGGATATGTTTGAATACGTTTTTGTTTCCGTCACTTGCAAAAATCGCAAATACTTGCGCTTGTGCGAGGTCTTGTAAAAATTAGCAATGTTCAGATCCAAGTATCTACCATGTATCCATGTTAGAATAAATTCTAATTCTGTATTCTATGCAATTTCAATTGCAAATTACCGATAATATCGTGAGTGTGTAATATTTGGATAACTTGGGTAATAATATTACATCCCAAACAACACCAAAAGACGTCTTTATGATTTATCTTGGAACGTTTTAATGTTACTGATTTATTTCGGTATGCAATGATTTTATCTGAAAATTGCTACTTCAAAATTAATTCGAAATTCTGAAACAATATTCAATTAACATATAATATCATCATATATAATATAGAGGAATATAATATAGAGGAATAATCGTCTGGCGAAAACAATTTCTATTGTGTAAAAAAAAATTATATATATATATATATATATATAAAATTTATATATATATATATATATATACACTTAATGTTTTATCTTTTTGCAGATTGTTGAATGGTTGAATGAGATTTCTATGAGTTCTACTGAAGATGTTAAAGTTGCAAATATATGTAAAGTACAGGAAATTTTATTGAATAAGGAACCACATTTGTTGCAACTTTACTTGGGGAATATTTTGGAATTTGCAGCAGACAGAAGTGCAGAAGTCAGAAAAACCATTATAGGATTTGTCGAAGAAGCTGGGTTATTGTCAATAAATTATTTTTCACTTATTAAGCCATTTCATATGTAATGTGCGTTATTTACTTATTTTCAGAATCAAACATCCAGAGGTAATACCTCGTACAGTGCAAATACTTCTTAGATTGTCAACGGATGAAGCGTCAGCTGTAGCTAAAAGAGTTCTCAGGGCTAGCAGTAGGATTCTTAGAGCTGCACTCAAATGGATCTCTAGTGCTGCTGTTGTCACGCCAGAAATGGAATTAGCATGGAGTCAATTAAGTGCTCTTAAAGTACAGATTATAAATATGATTGACAGTGATAATGACGGGTAAGCGCATTAATCAAAGATACATGAATCGTATCCGCAACTGGGTACAATTTCTTTTAAACCTTCTACTTTATAGAATTAGGACGCAAGCTGTCAAGTTTCTCGAGGGTGTAGTTTTGATACAAACATATCCTGATCCCGACTGTCCCAAAAAACCCGATGACTTTTCCCTCGAAGACATACCGTTGACATTGAAAATAGCTCGTAGACGAAAATTGGAAGAGGAAGCAAAAAATGTAATGGATCTGCTGATTAAATTTCACGGATCGCCGCATGTTAGCAGCGTCAATTTAATGACATGCATGGGATCTTTGGCATTAATAGCTAAAACAAGACCACAGTTTATGCCAAATGTAATTCAAGGTATTGCGTACGTTTACTTGTACTAACATTTCGTATACAATGTGTAATTGTCAATGTACAGCGTTGCAGAGGCTGCAACACGATTTACCGCCCACGTTGTCTGACTCTCAAGTAACCAGTGTACAGAAGCAATTGAAACTCACACTCCTTGGACTGATGAGACATCCCGCTAGTATAGAATATGCTTCAACCATAGCTAAGCAATTGACTCAGCTTGGAGCGAAAGAGCAGGAAATTATTAAGGCTTATCCTAAACCGGAGGATGTTCGTCGAATGAAAAAACGCCAGCAGGTATATAAGATTCTCGTTGAGGAGATATTTCTTATATCATGTGTACAACATATATATTCTTAAGTATTTCTGTTTTTTTTTTCTTTTTTTTTGCGCGAAGGAGGCGGCAGCTGCTAGTGCTGCAAAGCGAGCAAAACTTGATGTGGCTTTGATACCTGATGAACCAGAACCAGTACCGAGCCCTGTTCCTGCGCCTAAATTGCCAGAGTTAATCGAACTTTCTGAAAATTTTATCGCCGAAAGACTTAGCGTAGAAATTGCAACAGATTTAGTGATGGATAGTATGGTATGTATTATCCTTGCCTACATGATCAAATTGAATCTTTGTCATTCCGTTGAATAATTGTATTCAATAGGCATGGGTTCCGGATACTATGACGACCATTTTTCAAAGAGAATATCAACCCACCGCAACTACCGACATTAACATACAGCGTCAAACAATCGGTAAACTTCTAGCGGCACAAATAAAACAGACCAAAGCGAAGAAGAAGAAAGATGCTAAAGAGGAAGATGCTGTAATGGAAGATTTGATCAAGAATCCTACCATTAGCGTGGCCGAGGCAAAACGTGAGCGTAAACGCGAAAAAGATCGGGAGAAGGAGAAAGAAGCGAAAGCGTCATTAGAGGCCCATGAGAAATCTCTCGCGAAAGCTAGGAATCGTTTGAAGGCGTTGAAATTAGCAGAGGTAACAAAGCCGCTTTCGAAGGAAGTTAAGGAACGAATGTTGTTGATGGCAGTTAACAGGATATTACTTTCGGAAAGGACTGCGGTTCTTGGTGGTGTAGCTGCTGTAAGGTACAGCAAAAGGCAAATTCGAATATAACGAGCATGCGGTGGATATCTTTCACAATTGATCCCTTTGTGCTGCATTACAGATCCAAAATCCTGACTACGCTAGCAGCTACTTTTAACCCTTACATTAAGGAAGCGGTATTGCGTTATATCACTGATGATATGAGAAATCGATTAGATTTAGCTCTAGGTTGGTTATACGAAGAGTACGCGTTGCTTCAAGGTTTCCAAAGGCGGACCACCTTATGTACGAAACCTCAGGAGGCTCCGCATCAAGCGTATAACTTTTTGTTGTGCACTTTAGTTTCGGCTATTGATTTAGTTCAGGGTAAAGATCGTGATTCCTTATTGTACAGGTAACGTTATGCATTTTACATGTATGATAGAACGATATCCATGATGTTGATTCGACTATTTTTCTAATCGTGAAAGATTGTACCTGGAAGCTCCGCTGATAACGGAAGATGCCGTAGAGGCTTTGAAAATGGTGTCATCCGACGAGTCTAGAGGTCTTGCGCCGTTGCAGCTTCTGAAAGAAATGGTAATACGTCGACCAACGAAACAGTTGGTATTTTTGAACGTTTTGCTGTGCCATACCGGACACGAAAACAATACGGTAAGACTCTCTCGCGTTGGAGGGTGCTGGAGACATTTTATCGCGAGAAAGTGTACATACCTAGTGTTACGAAATAATAGCAATACGTATTCATCTTTGAATAGGTACGAGAGGCTGCAATACAGTTGGTCTGTCAGTTGTATAGCAGGCCAGATTTAAGCAAACTGATCGAAGAATATGCAGTTCTCTATCTAGGCTTCTTACGCCTTCATAGTCCGCCCGAGATTGTTTTCGGGCAAGACAGGGGCAGACCGCAGACCGAAAGTTTATGGAGTGAATCAACTACACGCGCTTGCCTAGGATTATATCTTGCTCTCCTCAGTGAACATCAAGATCTCATTCACGAGTAAGTAGGAACATTTCTAGGTACGTGTAGAATCTGAAAAAAAAAGAAAAAGACTGCACAACCCTATGTTTAATGATGGCAGATTAGCGCGAGTATACACATCTATGGGAGCTGATGTAAAACGTATCGTGCTGAGACTGGTGGAAGGACCAGTGAGATCTTTAGGTATGGGAAGTCCACAACTACTGGCCCTTGTTGAGAATTGTCCGAAGGGTTCTGAGACTTTGGTCACGAGGATCATACATATTCTAACAGAGAAATGTACGTTTTTGTTTGATTCCACCACACATTTGTTCTTCTTCATTCTTCTTCTGTCGTTTTACGACGATCTTACGTGTGTATACAGCTGCTCCGAGTGCGGAATTGGTGGCCAGAGTGCGAGAGTTATATCAAACCAGAGTGTCCGATGTCAGATTCTTAATACCTGTCCTAAATGGCCTCACGAAGAAAGAGGTGATCGCTGCACTTCCCAAGTTGATCAAATTGAATCCTATCGTCGTAAAAGAGGTAAATCAAACATATGAGAGAGATATCTCGTTCATTAAGACGACGCATCTTATATGTTTTCTAGGTATTCAACAGATTGCTGGGAACACATAACAACGACAGCGGTGTACCTCATACATCTCCCATTACACCTGCGGAACTGTTGATAGCTCTACATAACATAGACCCGAGCAAGGCTGAATTAAAGACTGTTATCAAAGGTATACATTTATATAGCATACTGTTGTTATGAAGAGCGCTAATCTATAAATGTCGCGGATACATTTTTACAGCAACGTCCCTGTGCTTTGCCGAGAAACAGGTGTATACGCAAGAAACGGTCGCTGTTGTGATGCAGCATCTCATGGAGATGACACCTCTGCCGACTTTGCTTATGCGTACAGTCATACAAAGCTTGGCTCTCTATCCTAGGCTGAGCGGATTCGTCATGAACATATTGCAACGTTTAATTCTGAAGCAAGTGTGGAAACAGCCTAAAGTGTGGGAGGGTTTTGTTAAATGTTGCGAACGCACGCAACCACAGAGTTTCGCTGTTATTTTGCAATTACCACCGGCACAGTTGTCAGAGGCACTGAGAATGGCCAGCAATCTGCGCGCACCCTTATTAACCCATGTTGAAGCTTTTGCCGAGAATCAGGTAATCACAGGCCGCGCGCGTATTCACATTTAGCGTTGTAAAAGAGACCACTTCTCATATCGTGCTACAATAAGTAAGAAAGCCATTTTTCTTTCTCTACTCGATAAAGAAACGTTAGATTGAGAGATTTCGAGTTAACCAGATACAATGTTGAATGTAGGTAGGAATATACGTTTCCGCTCGCCGGATATCAGTATATGGATAAATCCCTCTCTTAATATACAGAAATATAATATTATGTTTCAGAAAGCACACATTCCACAATCGATAATGGACGTCATACAGGGTAAAGTGCTTTGTGACATGCACGATGAATTTGATATTGTGAGTAAAGATGAATGTATATAAAGGCAAAAACTCATTCTCTCTCTTTTGAAAACTCTTTATAAAAATAAATCTGAAACTTGAGACTTGACCACATATCTCTTCCATCGACTTCTTTCAGGCGCCACCCGGTGATTATTCGAATGATCAAAAACCAGATACAATGGAAATTGATCTTTCCGAACCAGCTCCTCCTGGTTTAGATTAGCATAAAACAATTTCAGTGTTAGAATCAAAAACATACCCTACCAGATATCCTAATATTAATCAATCCGTATTGTAGTTATGGATTGTAAATTATTTTCTTCGAGTCATCGTTTAAAATGTAGACTCTTTGCTTCTAAACTTAGATAGTAATGATTCCTTCTTATCTAATCGCGCTAATCCCTTGGTGTACATCGTTCGCTAATAATTATTTCCATAATTATTGACCGTCATTATTTTTTATACATCGGACCATCAACGTAATAGCAATATAGAGAGCGATTTTTAGTTTTATGTTCCTACTTCAACGGATAAATAGAAAATAAAACGAGAAAAAGAACATCGTGTGAGCATAGGGTGTACGACTTGATATATAATTTTTCATATTTATATATAAGCGGCATATTTTAGTATAATATACCAATATATCGTCGATAATATCTGAACAAAAATATTGATTTCTCATGGAGAAAATTGTGGATACTTTCGTTAAATAACCTTATTCATTATAATTTACGTTTGCGCACGTATATATAAAAGGAAAAT